AAATTTCCAAGATAAATTTCAATATATCTTTGTTCCGGAATATCGTTTACTTCAAGTTTTGGAAAATATCGTAGTGGGTCAAGTTGTACATAAGATATTTGATAGCTATCCTGTAATAAATTTCGTAAACAAATTAATTTCAAATTCAGGTCATCTGATTTCAGAAGATGACTGGAAGTTTGAATGATTGAGGATGAAATCATTTTAGAATAATTTGCGGCATTTATCAGCCTGTCCTTCGTTTTAACTTCTCATTAAAACATTAACCTGCAGAGCTTTTTCAGGTTTCAATGCTCGTAAAGTAATATTGGTATGATAGGAAATGATGGATGCATTACGTGAGGCAAAATCTGGCGCTATTGGATCTGTTATCACTCTTTCTTCTTTGATCAATTCCGATTCACCCTTTCGTCTACCAATCACTGATACACTAAAATCATAAAATCAAATTATACTTACCTTGAATTAAACTAGAACGAGTAATTTTGCTCGTTGAAAAAAAGAATACAAAATTCGCCAAATTAAATACACCAAAAAGAATACAAGAAATAAACTTAAGTATCATTCTTTTTTTTCGATCTTTCAACTTTTAATTTTTGCAAAAATTAAATTATAATTTATGAGAAATTATTTTCCACTATATATCCTTCATCTTTTTACTTCTGATTACAAAAACAGTGGAAATGATGGAAAAATGGTGGAAATTTTCTGCTAAATAAATATGCATTGCATTCATTACAGAATGATTGCATTACACAGCAAATGAGTAGAAAGTAAAAATGGAAAAGAATTCTTTGTTATTTTACGTAAAATCAAATCTCAATTTTTTTATATCTTTTAGCGCTGATTGACAGATGCTTTAATTGTCAAAAACTATAACCATTTAATGAATTTATAAATTATTCAAAGCATCTTTGATAGCATGAAAATTGAATATTTTAAATATCATCACGTGTCACACACGCGCCATACTGATATGCGTATGCTTGAACGTGAAGCTGTTCTCAAATATTAGGATGTAACTTCGAAAAGATATGTGAATACTCATATTTATGTGTAAATATAAATTCCTATGCTAAATTAAATATTATTTCATATGTAAAAATAAATTTTCAACATTAACCATAGCAGTTTTTTAATTTATAATCACTGACAATTGTTTAACGTTTGCTTAATTATGTTTTTTCCTGCCAACATCTTTAGATTTTTGAATTTCTGGAAACAAAATAAATTTGCTTTAAAAGCAGTTTAATTTAATTATTCATCAAAACAAAGTTCATCAATTATCATTCTTAAATTATTTATTTTTTATATTTACACATTATTGTGATTACTAAAGAAGCATTCTGTTAATTTTTGCTTCATTCGACAGATTGCATCTTTCAATAGTTGCACTTCGCACAGTGATCCCTCTTAACACCCATTCCCATTTAATCTTCCCGACACATCTGCCATAATCATAATTTTTTGAAATAAGTATCGATCGACTAAACTGCATCTTATTTATTTATTGAATTGGCATTTAACGACTTACACAATTCTCTTAATATACGAAAATTGTTAGTAGAAGTGGTGGATAAATTTTAACATTGATGAAATAGAAAATTCTAAATAAAGTTTATTTACATTGTTTTTCTCAATGAGTTACTTTAAGTGAAATTTTTTTCGTTTATTTTTTATTTCTGAAAATATAACCTATACTGATGGCCAGGATGAAGGCCGTGAATATTGATGGTCTTGAAATCTGATGGTGACGCTAAAAATGTCCTGTTGATATCGCGTTCTGATAGATCTCTAAAATTATCGACATTATATATCTCTTTGAAATAATTTGTTTCACTGTTGTTCTAAGCTGGAGCTATCTTATTTTCGGAAATTTTAAAACTTAAATAATACATTTCAATGGATTGCTTAATATAACTTTTGGTATTGCTTATTCCTATTTCTTCAAAACTTTTTAATGATTTGTAAAAGGAAAACGTAAATTAAAACTTTACATGACAGGTGAAATGTCGACTACTTTAGCAATAAATTGGCCAAAATTGGTTGAAGAGTGAGGCAGAATAACAGTAAGTAATGTTGAGCGATTTGTTGAGTCTTTTTCGATTGAAAAATCAGGTAAAGTTGCTAAAGAACGCTGAACGAGCTGTCTCGTTCGAATGGTATCTGATTTTTGAAATACCTGAGATTTATTTGGAGTACCCGCGACCTATAAAAGAGAATTAAGTTGGATTTACTCATCTACTTTTATAATATATGTAATCTACTTATTATCTATTTGCAATTTAAAGCTAAAATTTCGTAGATTTAATTGTTTTCAAACCATATAAATTTCCTACCACGCGATCGTCGATAATAAAAGTAGAAATTTTTGGATCGTGCAGCAACATTTCAGTATGAAATCTTCCGCTTCCGCTTAAGATTCCTGAAAACAAATTACATAAATGTTAAATAAAAACTATTAACTTATCACATTTGAATATTTTGAGGATCATATTTTCGATTCTACGGTAAAAAAAGTATGAATGAAATGGTTTTGTAAAGGTAATTTGTTGTAATAAATCGTAAAATTTTGTACTATTATACTGGTTTATACGAAATCTAACTTTTAAAGAATGCTTCTAACTATCATTCACATGCGCACTTATCAAACACTAAATTAAAATTTTCAAATTACTTCATATTAAAATTTTCGAAAAAAGAAAATATATCTTACCCTCATGTGGAGCTACTGAAGAAGTGGAAATGTTTCCGAGACTATTTTGGAGAGAAACCGAATTGAAATTCAACTGTGAACTTCCTCCTCTACCAATTAAATAAAATATAAAGTAGAACATTAGTATTTTTTTGAATATATTTTTCAATTTAGTAACTTCAGAATAAATAATAGTTGGAATAATGAAGAGAGTAAAATGAGCGACGACTGTACCAGTAGCATTAAAAAATATTTGTTTGAAGTCTAAATTAGGCTTCATATCTCGAACTTACTAAGCTATTGCTGAGGATCCAATATTATCGGTCATAGCATGAAGGAATTCATTTCATCCAATAAAATAAAATAGAAAGATGAATGTTAATGATTAGCAGTTATGGTAATAAAAATATATTGGTCAGGGATAGTTCCTCTTTTGAATTGAATCATTTCAGTGAAAATAAATTTCATTGTAATATGCTGAATCATCATTCTTCAATTCTAAAAAAAAGTGAAATAAAAAATCATTTCGATTTTTACATTCTGAATTTGAACCGGTAATACAAATGATTTGATATTATGATAATAAATGTTCCATTACTAATTGAATTAATTTTGCGAAAAAAAAATCAAGAGTATTCGTAAGATAAAGCACAGATTATTTTCACATCTGTTAGGCTTTTAAATAAAGCTTGTTTTTATAAATATCAATAATTGCATCTGCACTTATGTCAAAAATTAAAATAGAAAATCCGGAAGATTTTTTTGATGTTGTAAAGTAGGTTACATACCGCCAAGTGATCTGAGCACAAAAGCCAGTAATGTAAATGCAAGGATTAAAATTTAAAGCAGTGTAAAATAAATATAGTCCAGCTGTACTCAAGCTTACAACTACATTTGAAAAACATCGAAAATCCTGACTGAACTTGTATTACTCATGGAGAAATAAAAGAGGTAAATAAATAAATATCCGCATCGTTAAATTTTAATTCGAAATATAAACGAAGATTTCGATCGAAATTTCTCTGGAATAAATGAAGCGAAAAAGAATGATATCTTATTAATATTATTAAAATTTCAATTGATAATTACCCAAAAATCACGTATCGTAGGTATTTTCATATTTTCTTACAATTCCAACTTTAATCAATATCAGTACTGTATGTCAGAATTTTCAAGAGTAAAAGTAAGATCTTGTCATAATTTACGACATTATGATGTAAGATTTTTGTGTATAAAAATGAAATAATACAGTAATGTATGAGAAACAGTTGATAAAACTAAAATATTCTACTTTTAAAAAACATTGCGATTTTGAAATAAATCTTTGGAATATTTTATTTTAGTTGCTATTTCTACTTTACATTTTCAAATTTGAAAGAAAATTGGAAACGATATTATCATATGAATTAATGGTAGATGATTAATTCGATCTTATCCAGGGAAAAGTTCGACAATGGTAAAATTCGGCTTTAATTTATATCAAAAACCAGAATTTCTAATTGTCACGAAATTACTGACAATAAATGAATGAAATCCAAAAAAGGTAAAGGACAACAGAGAATTGAATTCTTTTCAAAAGATGAATGAATGGAAGGAATGCAAAATTGGAGAGAATAGTTATGATATCAAAATTTTACGTCTTTTTAATTAATAACACTTTATGAGAACGCTCCGGTAAATTCCAAATTTCGCAACGAATTACCCATTTGTCGAGCTGTTTTGAATGAATTAGTAAATTAAATGATATCAAATTGAATTAAATTAAGATTATTGAAATGACAACAGAGAGAGAGCTGGAAGATGGCAAAGGTAAAAGTGTGCTGCGATAGGGATAATGCAAGGATGACCGTCACCCCATCCACTGGTTTATATTTGTAAAGCACTGGAAAAGTCGGTCATTGTGATTTTATTTAGGTACTAAACATTATTGCAGGCGCAAAATGTTTCGTACAATATTTCTTTTATTAAAATGAAAAATTATTTTCTCATTCATTGCTTCAATAAAATTTCATCCCTGTAAGTTACTTTTTAAAACTTAAGGAAAAAGGGTTAAATTTACCGACAAGATTATGACAGATTAGAGTTATAGGACTGGATTTTAAAATGATGATAAAGCGATAAAAGGACTGAGAATAAAATTTACGCTTTGGTGACTCACTTCCAAATATTTTAAATTATAATTGAAATTCAAACCATATAGAAGTTAACAACTTTAATGTATAATAAATTGTGAAAAGTTTGTGAAAATAATTCTGAGAATATTGAAGAAATGTACTGCATGTTCATCAAAATTTCAAGAATGGGTACTTCAACTTCAACCTTTAACTCTCCTCAATCTCTTAAAGGACACACTTATACTTACGAATAATTTTATTTACATAATAGTGCGACCAGCAACAGGCTACAATTAACAATGGCTCACATGTTTTGTGATAAAGAATTTCAAATAAGACAAAATTAGTGATGCGCATTAATGTTAGTGTAAAATTTGAAGACATACAAAAATAGACTGGAAATGAACATTTTTGATCAAATTTCAATCCTTCTGAAGAAAAAACTTTCTATTTCCGCCACATATTTCAGTCCAATTTACTCCATTTTTTTTAAATGGGTTAACTGTTTCAAAGAAAAATTTACTGAAAGAAACAATTTGTAAAAAATGTCAATTTTATAAAATGAATAATTAAGTGATATCATTTTCTTATATTTCTTATTGTTGCAGTTTTAAAGCAAAAAAAAAATGATGACCTCTCATTTTTATACATCTCTTAGACTGTTTTATTCTGTACATCGGTTACTCATTGCAATCTCAATGAGGTAAAAAAGAGAATTATGTTATCACTATTTGTACTATCTTATCATTATTATAATTAATATTTCCGCAAAAAATGTGCGAATAATCAATAACTGATTGGCAAAATAACAAAGAAATCACTTTGCTCGATAGAGCTTTCAATGCGATATTTGATGTTGTTGGAATGTGATGATAGTATATCGAACTGAGACAGTAATTATTGACAAGCGGAAAAGTCGATTTTATTTTTGATTTTTAAAGAATTTCTTTTTTTTCGAAATAAAAGGAATGAGAAGAGGCCAAAGAGAGATGATTGAGTGGGAAAAGAGAGTAGTTTAGAATGATTTTATTAGAAAAATGATTGATGACTTTTCCGGGTGGCTAAAAATTAAATTAAACATTTCAATACTGAATTTTCAAAGATACTGTTCATAGAATAAATATTTCGTTGTCACTTAACTACATTGCAAAATTTTGAAAAATTTAGAAATCTTTGCTGACTTTATTACTTACAAATATAAAAATTTCAATTTAATTTAAAGAAATTACTTATTTTTTCCTCTCATTCCGTCCTTCCTATCAAAAATTATAACGCATTTAATGATGAAATGGAACTGAACAGTATGCGAAATTTGACAAATATCTTCTGCTCAAGGACAAGAAATCAGCCAAATCAACCGCAAATAAAAATTTTAGTGAAAGGATGTTGAGCCGAATAAACAAAATTAAACGCGGAGAATTAGAGACAGAGATGTAGAGAGAGAGAGAGAGAGAGAGAGAGAGAGAGAGAGANNNNGAGAGAGAGAGAGAGAGAGAGAGAGAGAGAGAGAAAGGTAGAGGTGGACAATGAAAAGTTGTAATGGTCATATTGGAAAGAAAGAATACAACAAAAGTGCTATTACCTATCATTTGTGCATAGGAAATTTTCTTTGAAGTGACAAATTAAGTAAACTCAAAATGGAATCATTACTGTGCACGAGAAATAAGAAGAAGGCTTAATTGAAGTTTATTTTTTACTTTTTTTTCTGTAATGAAAAAATCGAAATTAATGACGGGCAGAAAGAATGTTGCTGAGATGATGTAAATTGCTTAAATCATACTTAGATAATAGCTATTGCAAAACGCGCTAATGGAACGAATTCACAATTTGATAGAATTGTCTGGATCAGTTAATCATAATTCGAATATTTAAACTTTGTAAGAGTTGGATAAAAATGAATGAATTATGAAGAGAAAGAGGGAAAATGAGATAAATGATGCGAAATTTCAACAGCTGTAAGGGAAAAAAATAATGGAGAATGAAGAACGATCGGTGAACTGCCGAATTCATCGTTGGACAATAGCGCGGTAGAAATGAGAGGGCACAAGATCTAATCACAGACACACACACACACACACACACGTACACACACACACATACACACACACACACACATACACACACACACACACATACACACATACATACACACATACACACATACACTGTTATTACCGTCTCATCTTCCAATTTGATGTCCACCGAACCATGAAGTGTTTTATCTCTACCATAATTACTACTCAACAGTAACATTTTTGTAAGATCACAAAATATCTTCCATTAATTCTCGAGTAAAGAATTAAAATTCGAGATTACTACTTATAGTGTTAGTGTTATATTTTTAAATAATCATGCATTTAAATGATGAATGATTAATTGGATGTTTTGATAAAGTTGGAGTGATTAAGTTGTTGTTAATTGTCGTATTCTATTGAGGGACATTTCTCAGCTTTCCATCAGTAACTCGAAAGTAAACTTTGAACCGATCTATTTATGTTCCACTGCAAGGATAGATAAATGTATAATTATTTTAAGAAATCATCATTGTGAGATGTAAAACAGGTTTGGAAGGATTTTAATT